GGGGGGGGGGGGGTCCTGGACGTGCTGTAAATTTTGCGCGGCGCGCTGTAGTTTATGAGGAATTCCTTTGAGCCATATAACTTGGAGCCGACCGACGACCGACCGACCGACCGAACGAACGAACGAACAAACGAGCGAGCGAATAAACGAACGATCGATTGATCGAACGAACGATCGTTCGATCCTGACATTCGATTTGAATTTTCGTAGCTCCGCGAGAGAAGAGCTCGTTGAATATTCTTCATTAATATTCCACATTAATATTCTACGTTATTAATATAAATAACAGCGAGTACACACGCGTGCAGGGTGCTACGGTTTCTGAAGTGCAGCCGAGTTCTGGTCTCGCGTTAACATTAAATGCAAATTCTGTTGGACTTGAGGGATCGATGGAGAATCCCGAGATACAATCTCGTTATACAGGCTATTGTCCTTTGATGTTATGAATGAATGGCTACTCACCGTCGTTTTCTCCGTGTTGACGCGTAAAGACGGGCTCGTTTCGGAATTATTTAATATTCGATTATCGATATTCTACTTGCATTTCACATCTTCACTCGCAATTTCCATAAGCAATGTATCATTTATGTAATTCACACGACCAGTCGGTAAAATATACGCGATAAACAAATATTAAATAATTTAATGGGTAAATATTGAGTTTAATGGATAAATCAAATAACAATCTTTCCTCTCTCATAATGTATTATTTTTATATCGATGTTGAGAGAATTTTTCGACGAGATTTAAAGATTCGAAAAAGGTGGAGTAAAAGAAAAAAAAAAATTATAATTTTCGTCACCAACTGCCGCTGCATTCTGCGTCCTGTGTATTCCGTCCTGGAATCGGTGTCCATCGTGGCCAGGTACATTCTCTAATCTTACATAAAAAAAAAAAACGAGTCGATCGGAAACGTAAAGTGATAATTGCACATTATCCGACTGCAATCAGTGAATGTTACGACCGAAAATTTTCAATATTCTCTCGATAATTCTGATGACTGCCATAGAAATCCGGAATGTTTTGGTGTTTCTCCATTGGATTGTTGTGATTTCTCGGCCACCAAATATATGCGTTGTTCATTGTCCGGCAACGGTATCTCTGGCGGCAACGACATTGGCCATTGTTGACGGGAAGGTGACTTTGCCCTTTGTTGGGGATTGTTTGGGTATTCCCGTGCATCGCGTATTTGCCCGTTTTCGAATTATTACGTCTCGAGTCGACGCATGCACCGCGACGCGGAGAACATGAATCGGCGCGTTAGTTATTATTCCCCCATTGACCTTTCAAGCATTTAATCGTATCGCGTTTCTCCGATCGAATCGCGTCTGCGCAAGTGTCAGTGTCAGTGCTAGTGTCAGTGCTACGATGGAATATCCGGAACAACCGGGAGCCAAGATGCTGGATTGGAAAGCCAGGACGAAGGACGCAAGACGCGGGCAGCGATACGCCATATATTTCCAGGTGTGTCGAATCATTTATTACGCAAGATGTTTAACGAACTTAGGCAGAAATAAGGAGACACCCGAGTCGAAATTTAGAATCTATCGTAAATCTCGTGGGCGTTGATTTTTGTGCCTAATAATGTTTTTTTGGATCGCGAGTATTATTTTGTTGGCACCAGTCAACGACTTTTTTTTTATATTTTTATTTAAAGAGTTATTATTATTGCTTTGGGTATAAATTTAAATCTCTATTAGGTGCACGATATTATTAAACGCACACTCTGCCATTTTTGCCTTTGCCGAGCGTTTGACGAATTTACTAAGAATAAAGATATACCCAAGGGTAAATTTAGAATCTACTTTAAAGCCTATATTTATATATTTGATAAATAATTATAACTTTATCTAATTATTCGTCATGCTGTACTTATTTCATGCAACATGAGATGTTGATTTAAACGGCCAAATCATGATTTTTTAATATAAATCTCTTTTAAATTAATTATGTTCTCAATTGTAGATCACAGATAAAAAATCTAGCTAAAATCCTTATTAATATTTACACAAATACTATCTTTATTATTGTAACTCTTTCTTCACTTCTGTTGATTTATTAAAATTTTATCAAAATTGTCTACGCCAAAAAATGAAGAAATTATAAGTAAAAGAAAATTCATGTAAATTGACCCACTCGCTCCAATATTTATTCATGTGGATTATTTAATATTTGTTTATCGCATATACTCTATCTGCGGTCGAATAAGTTACATAATTAATACATTGTTTATTAAAATTGAGAATAAATATTAAATGCAGGTAGAAAATTGAGATAATCGAATATTAAGTAATTTATAAGTAAGTCTTTCTTCGAGCTTCAATATGGAGAAAATAACATCAAGAAAACTCGTAGCATCAAAAGTAGTCTGTATATTGTAATATTTCGAAATTCTTCATTGGTGCTTCAACGGAATTTTCGCTTGATGTTAAACAGGAAATTACGATTTGGGAAGTTCTCTCTTTCTCTAAAAAGTTCACGTTGCTCATCTTGCCGAATGATCGACTCGATTTACATCCGATGATTTATTCATTATATTCGTCAACATATTGAATACCGTCACGGTGACTGATGACCGATATTATGATACTTCTCATTAAATTACATTGAAGTATAATTGTATTTGTGTAAAAAATCGATTGTATAGCCAATGGAGGACTAATGAAACGAGGTGAAAGATATGCGCGTCTCGGATTACAATTATTTATTATAACTTTAGTAATTCAATCATTAATTAAGCTCTCGTGTAATTAACGGAAATCCACACGGCAATTAACGTGTTAAGATGATCGCGCGACAAACGGAAGTGCATCGATTTCCGATCGAGAGATATAAACCGTGGACAAAGAAATACGAACAAAAAATGCCCCAGAGCCCCACATACCGGTCGGATCGAATACGTCGTATACATGTACATGTACGCGCGCACGCACACCTACCGCATCTTTTCTACGCATAGAGCGCACGTGGCGTTCCCCGTAAACGTTCTCTCTGGTCGGCGGCGGTGGTGGAGACGAGGGGGGTAGTTTTGGAGGTGGCAGCGAGGGAATCGCAGTGACGGGACGACAGGGGGGAATGGTCGTTACACGCACCGGTCACTGCCACCCCCGTGGC